TGGGGTCACCCAGGGGGCGTGGCGCTTCTGGCTGCAGCGGGGGCTGGAGGCTATACCGGGACCCCACCCGCACCGAAGTTTGCTGTTTGACCCCCCCCCCCTTTTGCGCAGTGTAGTCGCTCTGCACCTGGGCGGTGGTGTCCCAGGACTTCCCAGGGGACGCGTGGGGAAGTGCGGAGAGGACCCTATTCCTGCGGGGAAGTCTAGGCGCTTTCGGGTTTCCATTGTGACTCTGGGGGAGGGAGTTTGCGGAGCCTGGGCGCTGGGCGCGAGAGCTGGGAAAGCCCGGGAGACACTCCGAGAGGAGCTCCCGAGGCGTGTGCACAACGAGGATGCAGGCAGCGGCCGGGAGACTCCGAGGCGCGGAGATAGGGAGGGAGCCAGCCGGTGGGGGTGGGGGTGGGGACCGGGAGGGGTGAAACCGAGACAAAGCTCGAGAGAGGGAGCCAGAGCGGGAGAGACTGTGCGCGGGGACGCTGGCTCCGGGGAGGGCAGAGAAGCCGGACCGGGATGGGTGAGACCGAGACAAAGCTCGAGAGAGGGAGCCAGAGCGGGAGAGACTGTGCGCGGGGACGCTGGCTCCGGGGAGGGCAGAGAAGCCGATGAAACAAGGAGGGCGGCCGGCACCCCAGATGCAGAGAGCGCCCCAGAGATCCCGACAGGTGACTGGTGCGCGGAGAGACTGAGAGAGGGAATGGGGAAGGCGAGGCCGGGTCGGGATGGCGAGAGAGGCGGGGGACGCAGCGAGAGGCAGGCGCGGAGAGGCGGGCGAGACCCGAGAGGCAGCGGCGGGAGGCTCTGACCTCTGCAGCGGCGGGGGAAGCGGAGGGGCCGAGTACGCTCCAGAGCGGGGCCCGGGATCCTTGGACCCGCCGCGCGCCGTGGGAACTGGCCCCTAGCGTCCGCTCTCCCTCCCAGCACCGCCTCGCCCAGTCTTGGCTACCCGCGCCGCTCTTGGAGCGTCCCCGAGGGTCCCAGACCCGGAGACCTTGGCTTCTCCTCCCCTCCCTCTTCTGACCTGGAGCCTTCTTTCTAAATTAATGACCCCCTCCCCCCCGCGGGTGAGATGGGTGGGGTCGAAGCAGAAGGGGCTGCGCGATTTGCGCCCTCTCTCTGATTCCTTTTCTTAGAACTGAGCTGGGACACGGCCAGGGGGTGGGGTGGGGGGAGGGGTTCAGAGGAAAGCCACGGAGGGACCCTGGGCGGAGGCCCGGGAGGAGAGGGCTGTGTCTGCTCGCGAGGAACCCTCCCCCTGCCCTCCTCCCATCCCCCCTCCCCCGCTCGAGTAACCGAGACCCCTGGCGAGGCCCAGCGCGCTCACTCTTCCTTTTCTCCCCCCCTTTTTTGCAGTTGTTATTGAAGATGATAGGATTGATGACGTGCTGAAAACTATGACAGACAAGGCACCTCCTGGTATTTAACTCCCCCAAAGACAATGGGTTAAGGGTGAGGATAAGAATAAGAACGGCGCTAACAGTTATTGGCAAAAAGAGTGTGAAAGGAGGAAGCACTTTGAAATTTATTACTAGCTTGCTACCTGCGATGGAATCAACAGCCTGTATGTCGAGTCAGGCCGGGAGACAGATGATGAGGCGGGAGAAGGAGGAGGAGGAGGAGGAGAAGGCTCTGGGCTCCTCTGCAAAAAATAAAATTAAAAAAATAAATAACAAAATCACTATATACACACACATATAAAGAAATAAAGTCTCAGTTGCAGCTATTTGTCAAAATTAATATCCATTTCTTTTTATATACAGTGAATGTTGCGCAATTATAGATCCGGATTTTGAACCACTTTAATAGTGAAGCGGCAGCACCGGGTGTTTGAGGTGGTGGCAACCTTCGCTGATTTGGCTGTTCCCAATGTTTACATTATTTAGTCTTGCAAAAATTATTCTGTGCACTTGGATGTGAAATGCTGTTCAGTTTTATTTTTTTATGTTGTTATCCTTGGATGTACAAAAAAAAATACCAGAAAATGATCTGTATAGATATTCTGTTTTATTTTGGTCCTCTTTCAAAGTTAATCAGGAATGTGTTGAAGATAAGAGAACTTTTCTAAGAAATGATGGCTACATAGAAAGAATCCCTGTTTTATTTTAAAATGAATTGTAAAGCTGTGTTTCTTTCTTGCTGCAAGCTATTTGCCCAAGTTAATGCAAATGGATACATTTTTCTATGTCAGGAAAGAAAAACCATAAAAAAAACAAAAACAAAGAAAAAAAAATGCTTGAGCTTTTTCTAATCTCTCTCTGCAGTCTGTTGGGTGAGCAGCCTGTTTTTTTCTCTGATATTGTGTCAGTTTATTTTCTTTAATGGACTGTAAAAAAAAAATGTAATCACAAGAGTGCCAAATATCTTGAAATGCCAAACGGCATTTTGGTTTCTTTTCTTTTTCTTTGTGCTCTGAGTCCACGTAAAGGAATGCTTAGAGTGTCTTTTCTGTTATTTATAGGGGTTCTCTTAAGGCACACCAGCTGCCTGTTTTGCATGGTATTTGCAAAAATGCCTCTTGCGTGAGGAAATCTTTTACCATCTTTTCGTTTGCAACTTTGGACCTCAAGAGGTTTCTTCCCTTCCCTTCCCTGGTCCTCTTTTCTTAATTCGATATTCTGTATGTTGCACCTTTAACCAGCACACAGGGCTATTTCTCCGATGTACAATAAAAGAACTGTTCCTGTGTCTCACTCCTCTCTTTTCTCTGCTTTGGTTCTGGGGGATTTGCTTTTTGCCTGTGAAGCAAAAAGGCAAAGTGGGAGGCACTGTGGACTGGGCTCTGATGGTAGGAAAGACAAGCTGGACAGCAAGTTCAAAGAGCGAGTTCATTCACTGTGTGGATTTTCACTGGGCCTCCTTGCTTCCCTGAGGTTCCTGCCGTCGCTGGTGGGTGTGCAGAGAAGGAGGGCTGGTGTGTAGGGCGGCAGTCTTGTTAAGAACAGTGTTTGGAGGCTGGCAGACTGGAACTCAAATCCCAGCTCCTTCACTTCTTAACTGTATGGATTTGAGCAAGACCCTTCACTTCTTCAAGCCTTTCGAAATCTGTAACGTGGGGCTAATGCAGCTCCCACCTCACAGGTTGTTGGGAGGGTTAACACAATACCTAGCCCTCAGGATCATATGTCCATATAATCCTTTACCGAGGGCCACCTGTCCGAAAATGCGGGGCCGAGGAAGAGCTAAGCCCCCCTCACCCCCTCTCCTTCCTGAGTTCACTGGTCTTGGCGTGAGGGATGAGTCTGGTCCTCTGGGGTCCACGGCCTGGGGTGTCTCAGGCTTCCTCACTCAGAAGCTTCCCTGCAACCACCGCTCAAAAAGGCTCCTCATGAAAAAACTTCTCAGCCCCTCGTGTTCAGGGCGGTTAATGGCGGTGGAGCAGGCCCCTGGGGAAGGAGGGGTTGGGAGAAGGATTTTGGCTGAAGAAAGGCTGTTCCACATCCAGGAGCCCCAGTGCCGGGAGCTTTTAATGTGTTTGTTGTAAAACTGTCAGCCTGGGAGTCACAACACAGCTCACAGTGACAGGAGCCTGCCTGTGACTCAGACATCAGGTAAGACAGGCCTCTGGGTGGG